CATGGCCCCGCGGCTGCAGCTGGAGAAGGCCGCCTGGCGCTGGGCGGAGACGGTGCGGCCCGAGGAGGTGTCGCAGGAGCACATCGAGACCGCCTACCGCATCTGGCTGGAACCTTGCATCCGCGGCGTTTGCAGGTGAGGCCCGTGCACCGGACTTTGTGGCCCTCGCCGACCGGACCTTGGAAAGCTGGGGCGGGGTGGGGGAAGGAAGACGGCGGCCCGTTGCGTACATTGGGGAGGCGCGAAGAGCGAGGTGGAGAATGTTAGTTTTGCGCTGTCCGGACGACCTGGAAACGCAGCCTTCCCGGGCTTTGCGCGGAGGTGATGCGGTTTTAAAGCCTTTTAGAAAGGGTGCTAGGTTCTTATCTAGAAGATGGCGGTGGCGATGTTGCAGGTAGGGGTGAGAGGTTAGCAAACGTTGATGGTTGATTTTGGCCACAGCTTGACATTCTCGTTTGCAAAAAGGAAGTTAATTGAATGTGAGGTCCACCTTCTACTGGTTTTGACCCCGCAGCCCTCAGCATAGTATTATGACTCTTTGGTCATTGGCATCCTTCACCCTTAGCTGACCTTCCCTCACTCTTTGACCTAAGGTTGTGTGGGGTTTTTATTTTTTTTGTTCTGACTACCACTTTATCGAGTAACGTGCATGGTTGAGTTGTGCAAGTGCTTTGCTCTTGAAGCTCGGCTTAAAACCTGTCTTTTAGATAGAATGCCTAGGCATCGTGCCTGTTTTTCCTCTTTTCCACCTCCTTATGTGGGAAATAAGTTTTTGTTGGAGTGTTGTTGAATTGACTTGACCAAGCCGAGCATGCTCAGTAGCCTTTTTAAAACAGGTATTTACTAAGTACTTTTGTTGGAGTTTTTTACTTTCCGCGGGTGGATCCAGAAGGAATGGAAGTTAGGGTCTCTGGCCTCGGAGTTGCCTTATTTGAGTAGTGAAACAATTTGAAAAATTTGAACAATTCAAGCACCCATCGGGTTATTTAGCTTACTTAGGAGGGCAATTCTGATTGCCAGGTGTTATTACTGGAATGACAGTAACAATTCATGTTTTGTGGGATTTTTTTGTTTTTGTTTTGAGACAGGGTCTCACTGATATTGAACTCATAGCCCAGGCCAGCCTTGAATTTAAAACAGCCCTCCTGCCCCAGCCTCCCTGAGGACTGGGATTATGGGCAAGTGTTGGGATTATAGGCAAGTGACACACCACCACGCCCAGCCTAGTAGAATTTATTTGTTTGTTTGTTTGTACCGGAGATTGAATTTGTCCTTCCCTGCTTGCAAGGCAGGCACTTGAACCACTGCGCTAAATCCCTGGCCCCAGCCTAATAGAATTTAAATGGCTTTGTTGAAATAAATTTCACGTGTCCTGATTCCTCCCCCACTTTAAAGTGCACCACACTGTGTGGCAGTTGCTCTCGCTTTTTGTTTTGTTAGATTTTGGTTTTTTTGGTACCAGGGATCAAACTCGGGGACCATGCACTTGCAAAGCAGGCAGCGGAACCACTGAGCTAAATCCCCGGCCCATTCCCTCCTTTAATCCCAGCAGTATGTAGGCTGAGGGAAGAGGATCTTCTTGAGCATGAAGCTAGCCTGGGCTTCCTCAGTTCAAGACCAGCCTAAATTATGTAGTGAGACACTGTTTTAAAAAAAAGTAATGTGTATTGTCCAGTATTTTTTCTACATTAACAAGTTTGTTCAGCGCTCACATTTTTAGTTCCCCTTAAAAGATAACCTGTGTGCCAACCTGTGTGCCAAGCGTGGTGGTGCACGCCTGTAATCCCAGCACTCTGAGAGGCCGAGGCAGGAGGATCTCTGAGTTTGAGGCCAGCCTGGGCTACATAATGAGTTCCAGGTCAGTCTCAACTACATAGTTCGACCTGTCTCAAAAAAAAGCGATACCCTGAGTGTGGTGGTGCACACTTCTAATGGCTGCACTCTGGGAGCCTGAGGCAGGAGGATACCTAGCCTGGACAACATAGGGTCTCACTAACTCACCAATGTCAATGTTCTGGGTTTGTAGCTCAGTGTAGAGTCTTGGGTTTAATCCCTAGCACCTCTTGCAAAAGAAAGGACGGGGAGGAGAAAGGGGACCCCCCCTCGTGTTTTTGGTGTTTGGAGATAGGGTCTCACTATGTATTCCAGGATAGCCTTGAATTCACCGTGTAGCACAGGCTTGTCTCCAGATCGCAGCAGTCCTGCTCCAGCCTCCCAGGCATGCACCACCACACCCTGCCAAACCTTGTGTTCTTTAGGTTAGCATTAAGTTCTCCCCTTTACCCTCTCCTTCACCTTCCTCCAGGCAACCACTGACTGGTCTACTTTCTGCCTTGTCCTATTCCAGATGTGCTATGTAAATGGAATTATGCAGGATGAGGCTTTCTGTGTCTTAGCATAACTCCGCAGAGATCATCTACTTTGTAGCAAGTATCACTGACTACATTATGGCTACATAGTATTCTGTAGTATATACTACATTGTTTATCCATTTTTCAGTGGATGAATATTTCAGTTCCGTTTGGGTATATACCTAGGAGTAGAACTGTTGGATCATATAGTAAATGTTTAACTTGGTGTGGAACTGCCCCCCCCACTTTTTTTTTTTTTTTTTTTTTTTGAAGACAGGGTCTCCATGAAGTTCAGAGCTGTCCTCCAATGCTGGATTTACTGACGTGAAGTACCACACTTTGCTTATCCATTTTTATATTTGGCTGGCTGGCTGGCTGGCTTTCTTGCTTTCTTGCTTTTTCTTGCTTTTTGAGACAGGGTCTCATTATGTAGTTGAGACTGACCTGGAACTCACTATGTAGCCCAGGCTGGTCTCAACTCAACAGCAATCCTGCCTTAGCCTCCCAAGTGATGGTATTACAGATATGCACCACTAAATTTTTAGTTCCAACAGTTTTACTAAGTTGTCCCAGGCTAGTCTTGAACTGTGATCATCCACCTTCAGCCTCCCAAGTAGTTGAGATAGCAGGAGTTGGCTGTCACACCTGGCTCTGTTTCAGTTTTGTTTTGTTTTTCAGGCTGTCCAGTAACTGTCTGTGTAGCAGCCTTGAACTCTAGTAATCCTCCTGCCTCAGCCTCCTGAGTGCTGGGATTATAATTGTGTGCCACCACGCCTGGCTCAGCTCCAATATTGAATAGCACAGGATAATAATCACTTGTTTTCTTGTGCATGCTGTATTTTTCCTTCCAGCATAATCTATATTATAAATTAAGTGCTGTGATCCATGAAGCCCACACCCTGTCTGACCTTGATCATCGCTGTGATCTGCCTTCCTCTGCCTTCCCAGTGCTGGGACTCCAGCTGCTTTCTGCTGTTTTAGAGAAGACTTCATCCTTAACCAATTGTAAAGTGAAGATAAATGCCAGTGAGCTACACACCCTTGACTCCAATTTGAATATTTATCGAGTGCCTCTTCTGCCTCAAATATTCAACAGAAATTTTTGGTACCTACTGTGGACTTGATGTAGTAATCTAGGTATAAAGTCTCAGTTTAAAAGCCCTCTTCCTAGTAACAGATGGGGTGGATAAGTATGTGTTTGTTTTTCATGTTAGTACGTTTAGAGCTTCCTTAGCCCCCCCCACCATTGAATGCAGGTCTTTGCATGTGATAGTCGTGTGTCTTCACTGGGCTTTCATAACCAACCCTGCCTTATTCTTTTTCAAAAAATAAATTTCAGGCAGGCGTGGACGCCCGTAATCCCAGCACTTGGAAGCTGAGGCAGGAGGATCTTTTGTGAGTTCGAGACCAGCCTGGGTGACAGTGAGTTCCAGGTCAATCTCAACTACATAGTGAGACCCTGTCTCAAAAAACAAAACAAAAAAATAATGAATTTCATTATGTATATTCAACCCAATTTTATGGATACACATAGTATCACTAGAATCACAACATATCTACCATTTTACAGTTTGTGTATGTGAGGTAAGAGCAGCTATTATTTAATGGCACAGCAGGAATACCAAATATCAGCCCTATTTTTCAGTTTTTCAGATCTTAATTGGGTTTATTTGCAATTCTAGAATGAAGCAGCAGGATGGACCAAAATAATCTAGAATAGACCTTTTTAAAAATTTTCTGAGGCAGGGTCTCATTCACATGCCCTGCTACTGAGCTACATCCTCACCCTTTTTTTCTTTTGAGTCATGACCTCCAGATGTAGTCCAGGCTGTCCTGAACTCTCAGTCCTCTGACCTCAGCTTCCGTTCTGGGATTACAGGCGTGTACCACCTCTCCCGGCTTGCCTTACTCTTTCATAGCTATATAATATTTCATCACGAGAGGTGTGTTATAACTAAATCATTGCCCTTTTGGTGGACCTTTGGGTTTCCAGGGTCTGATATTATATGGTGCTGTTTTGAATGCCCCTCTACATATATTGTTTTTTTTTTTTTTTTTTTTTTT